CTTACCACATATGGATGTCAATTTCCTTAAAATTTTCACGATTCTGCCTAAAGGACAATTCCCTGAACAAGAGTAAATAAAAGTGAAATTGCAATAATAGGAACACAAAATTTAAATATCAAATAAAGACTAACTCCTCCTATTTTATGCTATCCCTTGTCATACTTAATAGGATTTTTTAAATAATAATAGTAATAGTAGTAGTAATAGTAATAATAATATAAATATCTAAAATACATAAAAATACAAATAAAAATTAAATATTTAAAAATACATAAATAACTCACATGCCTCAACCACCACCTTACTCACCTTCAAGCACCGCCACATCCGCCGAAAAAATGCCAACTTACAAAAAAGGTCATGGTGATGGAAATTTAAAACTAAAGTTAGATATTTTAGTTATTTTATAATTGTTATTTATTACTTTTATTTTTATTTTTTCCCAATTTTTATTATTAATTTATAAATATATTTATTATTTAAGAAATCATACTCCCTATTATGACAAAGGAAATGGTAAGATAGGAAGAGTAAAGGGTTGGGAAGCCAAAATGTTAAAAACGGACTCCGTCAATTTGAGAACAATGTTTAGACTTCTATTTTCTTGCATCATAGCCCTGACAATAAAATACACTAAGCATATTGTTTTTACATATCAATTTAGTAAAACATTAATTAATTTATTATATGTAATGTTTCTTTTTAATTTCCCCCTTGAATAATTATGAAATAAAAAATACACATTTCGGTGTAAAAATAAATAAATTACATTAAAAATTTTAACGTTTTCCGGTTAACAAAAAATTAACTTAGTTCAAGAAAAATTCCATAACGGAATATTCAACTATTTGTGAAAGTTCCATGAATTAAAAATTTGTGTTTGGTATTTTTTGGGCTCAAGAAAACTTTAGTTTTTTTTCATTTTATGTATTACATATTGGTGTCATATTAAAGATCATACATGTTCATGATTTGTTATGTATTTTTTGAAAAAATTGAAAAACAAATAAAAAAGTTGTAAGAGTTTAAAACAAATTGGGATTATAATGACATATTCGTGACATTATCGTGATGTCAGCCGAACACGTGTCCAACGCGCAGGCACCGACCTTCCTTTGCTTTTCTTTTTCTTTTACGCCTCATTCCTTTTCCTACTTTTAATTGTCATTTTAATCTTCCACTATTCCAAATTAAGAGTAAAAAGATCTCCACCTTTAATCTTTTGACTCCTAATCCTACACTACTACACTACCACAAACGGTGTCTTAGAGCATCTTCAATGCTATAATGTCCACGGTGCACATGTGGCATGAGTGATAGCCACATAATTATTAGCAAATAAATTATTTCTCTCCTTATTTGAATGATTTTATACAATTTTGGTAAGTTTTTCCCTGCAATGTCAACAACAATGTCAAGATTAGACGGTCTCCTTGACATTGTGGAGAAAAACTTACCAAAATTGTATAAAATCATTTAAATAAGGAGAGAAATAATTTATTTACTAATATTTATGTGGTCATCTCTCATGCCACGTGTGCACCGTGCACATTGTACCATTGAAGATGCTCTTACAATACAAACGAATTTTCTCCAACAACAACAGATCCATCGCCACTCGCTGCAAAGCATTGGAAATTCGTCCCTTTTGACTCAAAAGTTTTGAGAATGGTATCTGACCCATTCCGATCACACATATCTCATAACAAAGCCTGCGATCATCCAGGTTGATTCCCAAAGATTCAATTACTCCTAGAAAAGGGGCAAATAAGCCCTCGAACGATTTGCAATTCTGCAATCAGGCCTCTGAACTCGAAAAATTGCAGATACACCGCTCAACTCATTGAAAATGATGCAATCGGGTCCTTTTTACCTGCTGGTGCCGGTAATATTTCATCTTCTTACCCCCCACCAACAGGTAAAAAGGGGTCTAATTGCATCATTTTCAATGAGTTGAGGAGTGTATCTGCAATTCTTCAAGTTTAGGAGTCTGCTTGCAGAATTGCAAATAGTTGGAAGGCTTATTTGCCTCTTTTCCCTATTTTTTTATGATTTTTTAATAAATAAATTTATTAGAGATTATAATAAGGAATATGATAGGGGTAAAATATATTATACACCCGGCTGTACCGTGTCACTTGTACAGCCAGGTATTTTTGTAATTATATGCAAACTGGAGGTCATTAGTTAAGGATCATGACTTTTGCTTTCTCTATTTCTCCACCGTTCCTGCCTTTCCGATTTTTAGTTTTGCTTTTCCTTACTGCTCTTCCTCTTCCGTTACTTTACTGCTCTTCCGTTTTTGTTAGTTTTGCTTTTCCCTTCTTTTAGTTTTGCTTATCGTTTTTTCTTTCTTTTTTATAGTTCTGGTTTTCCTTTTTCTTCTTTTATTTTGCAACTTTAATTCTTCTATGTTTCAATTTTCTTTTTCTTTTTTCTGCTTCGGTTTTTCTTTTTTTGTTTGTCTCTAAATTTGAACTTTTAGTTTTCCAACTTTAAATTTTCTTTTTCTTTTTTATGCTTCATTTTTTCTTTTATCTTTTTATATATACTTTTTGTCTTCTGGATCACTAATTTTGAACTCCTACTTTTTTGTTTTTATGTAATTTTGCTACAATAACTTTTTGTCTTTTTCATGCAATTCATTCAAAAATTCATATCAAATGCGATGCAATAAAAACATATACACCTATTCTTTATATTATACTGATATGAGCATACATAAATTGATATTTGAGCATACTAGAGATTTTAAATGATATTTTTAATTTTTTCGATACTCATTTCGTAAGTTACCTATGCTCATTTGAAATTGGCGTAATGCTCACTTTAAAATGAGTATTACACTAGACATTTTAAAATGTCATATCCATGCATATGTGTAATGCTCATTTTAAATATTTCGATGCTCATTTCATAAGTTATGTATCGTCATTTGTTGAATTTGTACTCATACTATGCTCATTTTTAAAATGTTATATTCATGCAAATTTTAAAAGTTGCATATGACATTGGATTCACATTGTTAAGTTCTTAATACTCAATTGAATAAGTCTAATGCTCATTAAAAGTGTTTTAATGCTCATAATAGGTTTAATGTTCAACAAAATTGTCGTGATGCTCAACAAAAACTTATGAGTTTCATATCAATGCTCATTTTGTAATTTACATATGCTCAATTGGTACTCATGTTGTGCTCATTTTTAAAATGTCATAACGATGCATATTTCAAAAGTACTATATCATATTAGATTCACATATTAAAATTTATAGGAATTGATTATAGATATAAGTTAATGAGTTTTTATAAAAGAGAAAAAAAAGAAAAAAAAAGCGAATTACCTATACGAAGTTGATATCACAATACTCATTTATTGACTCTTAATGCCCAGTAGAATACGTTTGATACTCATTAAAAGTGTATTAATGCTCATCTAACAATAACCGCGATTTTCACTGAAATTACGAAAACGCCACCGTTTTTTTGTTTTGATATCAGCTTTCTTGTAATAACATGGTGCTCATTATTAGACGCTTAATACTCATTAAAATTGGACTATTGCTCATTAAACGTTTATTATTGCTCATTCACTAGAAACCGTGAATTTCATCTCAATAGCGGATGTTTGATGCTCAAATATTAAATGTGAATACATAACGCGTGAAATGAGTATCAAAAAGTTCAAAATGAGCATTACGCCAATATGCATGGATATGACATTTAAGTTGTCTCGTGTAATGCTCATTTTAAAATGAACATTACACCAATATCAAATGAGCATAGCTAATTTACGAAATGAGCATAGAAAATTTTTAAAAGCTCATTTAAAATATCGAGTATGCTTAAATATCAATTTGTGTATTCAGTATGCTCAACAGACTAGGTCTGGTGCTCATTAAAAGTTCATTATTACTCATTCTCCAGAAGTCGTGATTTTCATCTCAATAGTGGAGGCTGGATGTTCAATTAAAATTTTATGATGTTCAACTAACAAACCTTACGATTTTCATATCAATGTGCACTTTGTAAGTTATGTATGTTCATTTGGTACTCATGTTATGCTCATTTTTACAATGTCATATCAATGAGATGAAAAAATCACAGTTTCTATTGAGATGAAAATCACAGTTTCTGTTAAATGAGCATTAATGAACTTTTAATGTTCATCAGACCTATTATGAGCATTAAAACACTTTTGATGAGCATCAGGCTTATTAGGAACCTAACACTATATAAAAAAAGTATAAATATATTTATATAAAGTAATAGTATGATTCATAGATCAAATAAATACTTCAAAAATATGATTTAGTCTTTTAATATAGTAATAATGAGCAAAAACAAAAGAATAGTTAATATTATAATTACTATTAATAATAGTAATTATGAAACTATATAGGATAAGTAAGATAAAAGAGTTGATTATCTCAACAAGACAAGTTAGTGAGATGGTTGGAAGGCTGCATACCTTACTTTGGGTCTGGGGATCGAATCCCGCTGGGGTTTTTACTTTTTAGTGAAGGAATTCAGTTCCCTATGGTCACGATTCGCTGGGACAAGATGTAAGCCCACCAGTCAAATTTAATAATTGGGCCGGATGTACGTACACCCGGGTGTACGATATAGGGGCTCATAGATAGGAAGGACATTTTTCCAAAAAAAAAAAAGAATAGGAAGAAGCACACACGTATGTTTTAGTCCTATTTTACGTTTGCATAACCCGTGATTTATGTGAAAAATGATCTTTGTACCCACTCTTGTACCCACCTATGTTTGTGAAGTGTTTTTTTTCTTTGAACCCCTATTCACAGAAAATATTTTGCACAGGCAAAATATTGTCTGTGAATCATGTTCACAGACAAAAAAACATTCACAAACATGGTGAGTATAATATGGGTATAAAAATGGATAATCAACATTTAATTGAGGAAGGTTAATCTGTATCGTGGGTCCCTCAACCCAAATAATGTGCATCGTTCTGTCTCAGGCATCAAGAATTCACCCGACCCATCAGTCAGCCACTCACCACTACCGCGACCAGTCCAGGAAAAAATGAGCCCGGAAAACCAAGAAGAAGCCGCAGCTGAAAAACCGCTGCTTTCAGCTGCAGGCTCCAGGTCCGGCGGGTCAATTAGTGGTGCTATCTTCAACGTCTCCACTGGCATGGTGGGAGCTGGGATTATGTCAGTCCCTGCAACTTTTAAGGTCTTGGGTGTCGTTCCCAGCCTCTTTGCCATATTGGTTGTGGCCTATTTTGTGGAGGTCACCGTCGATTTCCTCCTGAAATTCACCATCTCCGGCGAGACTGATTCTTATGGTGGACTGATGGCTGAGTCTTTTGGGAGATTTGGGTCCCTCGCTCTCCAGATATGTGTGCTGATTACCAACCTTGGCGCCCTTATCATTTATTTAATCATAATAGGTTAGCAACAATCCCTTGAGAGCTTTTGTAAATAATAATTAAGAGATGGGTCTCATAGATTTTTGTCTTAATACTGATATATGTTTTGAATTTGAGCAAAATTTATGTAAAGGTTACACCTTTACACGTTTAGGCTAGGTTTGTTTGGATAAATGAAGTTCGGTAAGATTGATGAGCTTTAGTGAACCGAGTCTTAGTGAAAAGGAAAAACTGTCATTTGTGCTCACTTTGATGTTCACATCACACAAGGGGTCGAATCGTACAATGAACAATCATTATGTATATGAAATTAGCCCGTGGATAAATGTTATTTTGAAATTTGTTAGGTTAACCCACACTAGAAAGTTGATTGGATGGAGGTTAAGCTGTGTGAACACACCAAATGCTTAAAAACAAAACTTAACTTTGAAAATCTTTGATTTAGAGATACTCTAAAACTTGGTTATTAGAAACTTGGTCCCGGGAAGAATCTTAGCCTAAGCTTTAGGAGGCTCTATAAGCATGTTGTTTAGTGAGTACTTCTTCTGATATCTGTTAGTCCTGCATGCTTTCTACATTGCAGATCAGAGTTGCAATCCCGTTCCCCTTCTTTTAACTTTTCAACTTCCCTCAATACTCAATTTAATATTTCCTGATTTCTCTTCAATTTCTTTTCTACTTTTCTTGTCACAGGTGATGTGCTGTCAGGAAATGATTCTGATGGAACATTGCACCTCGGTGTCCTACAGGAGTGGTTTGGCATCCACTGGTGGACCTCAAGGCCATTTTCTGTCCTTGTTGTGGTGCTTTTTGTTATGCTTCCCTTGCTTTGTTTAAGGCGCATAGGTCAGTAATCCTTTTGTAATAAGATTTTACCATAACAGGAAATGAATAATCCCGAAGAGAGATGGGGATGCAAAGGTGATTTTGTAGATCGCTGTATACTTAAGTAACAAAAGTAATTAAGAAAAGGTTGTATTTTTTAGTTCATTATGACACGTCAACCCACAATTTTCCATTGCATAATCACATTCTGTGACTAGATTGTTAAGCTATCTCATATTGGCCAAATATAAAAACACAAAATCACATATAACTATATAAGACCTTGTACTATTCTTTGAGAGAAACAAAAGTAATTAAGAAAAGATTACACCGATGGGCTTTTATGACTGGTAAAAATCCAGGAGTACCTACAATTTAGTGACTACTTTGTTAAACTATATCATATCAGCCAAATATAAAAACAGAAAATCATATATAAGGTCATAGGCTACTTCTTCAGTCAGATTAACTTTTTAAGATGAACTCTTAAATGTTTTATATAGGTTACTTAGGGATAATTTAATTGTCAATGAAACATTTTGCCATAATGTAAGAAACATTTGTGTTATTGTTGTTGTTATGTTAATAATCTAATGTGGAATTTCTTCCACTTTCTTTTTCTGTAGATTCACTTAGACATGCATCAGCTATATCCATTCTGCTAGCAGTGCTTTTTGTTGCTGTATGCTCTGGAATGGCATTATATTCTTTGTGGAAAGGGGAGACCGAAAGTTTAAGGCTTTTCCCTGACTTCTCAAATGGAATCTCTTTTTTTGATCTCTTCACTACCATCCCAGTATTCGCCACAGCCTTTGGATGCCACGTGAACAGTAAGAGTTGTCCTGCCTACATAAATGGGAGCACCATTTTTTTAAATTTGAGAAAGTAGTTGCACTGTTTTCTTCCCGTATCAAATTACTGTAATAGTTAACCTTTGTTTGGTTTAAGGAAGAAATAGAGAAGAATGAAAGGGTTAGAAACAGAGGGGAAGAGAGAGATGGGTAGATATTGTGCCTTGTTTTGTAGGAGAGTAATAGAAAGGGAAGCAGTGTGTAACTTTTAGAATGACAAAACCACCCCTAACAAGCTCTACTGAAATGTAAATACAGAATGTGAGCATATGGTGGGAAAGATGGGCCCGCTTTCTTTCCCCACCCCCACATTTCCCTCTGATTGCTTTGCTCACAAAACGATGGAACCGTACCATTCTTCTTTGCTTTCTTTTCTCCCCATATTCCTCTTCCCTACTCTAGAAACAAACAAAGGCCTATTGCTAGGATATTTTATCGTTAATTCACAAAAGTTAAGATTCTTGAACACGACCATATTCTGCAGTTCATCCAATCAGAGCAGAACTTGGCAGGCCATCTGACATGACCTCGGCAGTCCGGATATCCTTAGTGCTATGTGTTGCCATTTATTTTGCCGTGGGCTTCTTTGGGTATTTGCTATTTGGGGACACAATCATGGCAGACATGCTAGTCAACTTTGATCAAAAGTCTGATTCTTTCATTCACTCATTGCTGAACACCATTGTTCGGCTGAGTTATGCAGTTCATCTCATGCTGGTGTTTCCAATCATGAATTATTCTCTTAGAGTTAATGTGGATGAACTTTTGTTCCCAAAAGGACCCCTTTTGTCTACCAAAACTGCTAGGTTTTTAACTCTCACTGGCGTGCTTCTTGGATTCATGTATGTTGCTGCTATTTCCATCCCAAATATATGGTACTTCTTTCAGTTCATGGGAACAACCACTGTCATGTGCATCATGTTCATTTTCCCAAGCTTGATAATTCTTAGGTACGCATACCTTTATGTTTGCTTCATGTTGTGAATAGAAACCGAATAAGAGGCTTATTTGATTGTTAGGGACCTATAGAAAATATTAATAATTAGAATAAGTCGTAATAAGGTCTCGGGGTTAGTTAGTTGTCATAACTATAGTAACTGCTGGCAGTTACATAGCATACTATAAATAGAAGTAGAAGGGATTGTAAAAGCATGCTGAAAATTCATTTGTAAAGTGAACGCTATGTTGCCTGAGGCCATCGGCCAAACTGTAGCCTGAGTAATAAAGTTGCCCCTTGTTTCTTGATTCCTTTGTGTATTCTGTTAGAACTTTTCTGCAGATTCTAACATTGGTATCAGAGACTATCGATCACGGTGAATGGTAGTGACGAGAACCAAGATGGAAGCCAGAATGAATGAATTGGATGAAAAGATGGAAAGATCGCGACAGGAGACTAGAGATATGTTCGCGGCTCTTCAGGCATCGATCGCCCGATTGGAATCGCGAGGAGAAAGTCGATCGCGTAGCAGGTCGCACGCTTCGCATCGATCATCGCGACCTTCATCGCTTCAGTCAACGCGACCGTCAGCGAAGCATCATTCGAAGAAATCGATGGACAGTTCCGACAGTTCAGATAGTCAACCGGAGTACGCATCAACTCGCCAACATCATCAACCTCGCCAACATCAACAGACGCACAGGAAGGTTGATTTACCTCTATTTCAAGGTGAAGATGCTTTTGGATGGCTTGTGAGGATCGAACGTTATTTTCGCCTCAATAACACGGAAGAGGAAGAAAAAATCGAAGTGGCAGTAGTTGCCATGGAAGGAAAGGCGCTGGGATGGATTCAATGGTGGGAAAAACAAGCTAGAGAAAGGAATTGGGAAAAATTCAAGAAAGCAATGATTAGGAGATTTCAACCAGAGCTCATTCAAAATCCATTGGGGCCTTTGTTGAGTCTGAAGCAAAGAAATTCTGTACAGGAGTACAGGGAACAATTTGAAAAAGCTATTGGATCGCAAGAGAATTTGGACAGAAAGGTAATGAGAGCTATATTTCTGAATGGATTAAAGAAGGATATTAGAGCAGAAATGAAGCTGTATAAGACCAAAGATCTGGGGAAAATAATGGATAAGGCACAGGTGATTGAGGATAAGAATGAAGAAATACTGTCAAGAAGAAATAAAGAAGAGGGTAAAAGACCATGGAAGAACATTACAATTAAAGGAAGCAGTTTTCATAAAGGGGAGGAAGGGATTAGAAGTGGCAGTAATCCAATTCTTACACATTCTGCTGGTGAAGGTTCCAGTTCTGGGAAAACAGGCCCCAGATTATCCCAACAAGAAGTAATGGAAAGGAGTAAGAAAGGTTTATGCTTCAAGTGTGGCGAAAACTGGAATAGGGGGCATATCTGTAAGATGAAAAATTTCAGAATGGTTTTGATGGAACTTTCTGAAGGAGAGGGAGAAACTGAAGTGGAGGACAGCATTTCTGAAGAAGAGGGACCTCACCCTGAACTCAAATCATTGAAATTATCTGTGTTCAACAATGAAGATATACAGTCTTGGAGAACTTTTAAGGTAATAGGATTACTAAGCTGGTTTTCAGGAGACAAACCAGTAAAGGTCCTCATTGATTGTGGTGCTTCCAACAATTTTATCTCACAGAAATTGGTGGATGAGTATAAAATTCCTTTCCATCAAATCAAAGGTTATAGGGTCCAGACTGGTAATGGAGAGTTCATTTCCAATAATGGCAGATGTATGGGGCTGAAATTAGATGTTCAAGGGAGTGTAATCCAACAAGTTTTCTACATACTAGAGCTAGGAGGGATAGAATTGGTGCTAGGCATGGAATGGTTAACTCAATTGGGAAATATGGCAATCAATTTCAAACACCAGTCCATCATGTGGAAGCAAGGGAATCAGATTTGCTCCATAAAAGGGGATATACTTCTGAATGAAAAAGATGTTTCTAACACAATCAATGCGCAGATTCTGCACCCAACTATGGAGAGGTATCTACTGTATGGTGAAGAGAATGAGCAGGGGCAGAACATGGAACAAGAGACTTTTGATCTTAATATCCAGCCCAAGAAAGAAGCTGACTTTGTATCTTCATTCACAATTGGTGGTTCAGTTCCCAGGTTGCTTCACAATAGCAGGGAGGTTCAGGAAACACCTGTGAATTGGCAAGACAGAATGATGAAGTTTCTCTTTCAGAAATTTGTGAAATATTGGGAAGGCAGGAGCGCTAGGATGAAGAAGAAAAAGGATCTTGTGGCTGCTACCTTTCGTCCACCTTGAGGGCAAGGTGGATGTTCAGGAGGGGAGATTTGTTAGGGACCTATAGAAAATATTAATAATTAGAATAAGTCGTAATAAGGTCTCGGGGTTAGTTAGTTGTCATAACTATAGTAACTGCTGGCAGTTACATAGCATACTATAAATAGAAGTAGAAGGGATTGTAAAAGCATGCTGAAAATTCATTTGTAAAGTGAACGCTATGTTGCCTGAGGCCATCGGCCAAACTGTAGCCTGAGTAATAAAGTTGCCCCTTGTTTCTTGATTCCTTTGTGTATTCAGAACTTTTCTGCAGATTCTAACATTGATCAAAATAAACTATTTTTTCATGCGATTTAAATTAGTCTTAAAAACAAGTTAAATATGATAAATTTAGTTAAATGAACAAAAAGTAAAGAAGGAACGACCAAAGCATAACCCCCTACTCTTTCGATTGAGAAAAATAGTACTAATATAATTTCCAAAAAAGTAACTAAAATGGAACTAAATCATCTCAAATCCCCTTTTCTCTCTCCGTTACCAACCTCCCAACTGTCATTTCCCCCGCCAACCGCTGGAGTTTTCCTGGCAATGCCAAAAAATAGTCTCGACGGGCCGTCGTGACATATGAGGTGTCATTAGCGATAGCGGTATCACTGACAATGGCAGTGCAACTCGCAGTGGTGGGGTCACTGGGGCATACTAAAAGTACCATATTTAGGTTTTTTGGAGTATTTAAAAAGTAGTCACATTTTTGTCCACTACTGTTATATTAGCAATATTGAAAGGAAAACCACAAAAAGTAAAACTATTTTTTTTGTAGAATTTTATATCTTGAAACAACTAAGAAGTTGTACCTTTTCCTTCTTAGGGATGGATGGACTACTATTTTTCCTTGTAATATTCTGTGAATAATTTGTGAATGTGTTTTGCAGAGATGTTCATAAAACATGTACTAAGCAGGATAAGATGCTGGCGGTATTGGTCATTATGTTTGCAGTTGGGACTAGTGCGACAGCCATTTACTCTAATGTATCAACTTATATTATCAAGAAGTAACCAGATTTGAAGGCGATATAGCTAATTCTTGAGGATCATTAGCATGATCCATTGTTTAAAACACAATTTGAAAAATAATTTTAGTGTTGTTGTAGAGAGTAGTTTTTGGCAGCCTCTTAGTGTATCAGGTTAGAAAGTTGCTTCATTGTAATTAATAGTATTGTGTGCATTTGTTGGTTCTTGATCCTTCTATTATGCTGTAATCCCTCATGCCTATTGTTGAGTTTAATCCAACACGATATAATAAATATATGTATAAATGTGTATGAACAAGCTATTTTTACGTGGAAACCCGGAAAGGGAGAAAACCACGGGACTTTTTAGGCTAATGTCCAAGCCCTCTCTTTCTCATTAGGACTCTCCTCACCATTACATTGTACAAGCTCCCATTAATGGAGTATTTGAGCTATTCTAGAGGAAGAAGGAAGAAGGAATGGATCCCTAATATGGAGGGGAACTCCCATATTTATAGAGAATAGGGGAAGGGGATGCTCTCCACCCTAATGGGCCGCATGGGCCGGAGTGGGCCCAAATGGCTAAAGTGGGCCGGATGGGCCGAAATGGGCCTAGCTGCTCGGGCTCCGTATTACGTAAAGCCTTGGACTCCTAAACAGTAATAGGCCGGGATAATATATCCCAACACCTATATACTGACTACGGACTATTGTAATTCTTAATAAATAATATATTGGCAGACTGTCCTAGTGTCCTTTATTAACACACACGGAGTAGAATATATTTTCATGAACTAATTGTCTAATTTGGGATTTTTTTTATATGATATACTGAGCACTGACCATCTTCATTTGAACTTCCTAATTTCAGTAACATCCAATTTAAAGAAATAAACATTTTTTCTTTGACTTATTGAAATGTTTTTTTATTGAGGATGAGTTTTACTGCAAATTTCTTTTGTCTTAAAATTTTGCCATCTTTGATTTTTGGTCAATCAAGTTAAATTTTGGAAATACTGACATAGATATTACTCCCACACTTTCAAAAGACAAATCACAAATGTATGACTAGTTTTTAATTTTCCAGAATTCAGATTTCATTCAACCACTCCTTTTCGTCTCCCTGCGCACATAACAGAGAGCTTCTCTCTTCTTCCATGTCCATCCCAGAATTCAACCATGGTGATGATCGGTGCTGACCACGTCGCAGCAAGACTCGCCCCCAACTCTATCTTCGTCGCAGCCAAGCTCGCCGCTAATGATGCCTTCGTCGCAGCCCGGCTCGCGGCCAACACTGCCTTCGTCGCAGCCAGGATCGCCGCCGCTGTCTTTGTCACTGTCAATCCCTGCCACCGTCGTTGTCTTCGTCGAGGTCTGCACTCTTCTTCTTCTTCTTCTTCTTCTTCTTCTTCTTCACCTTACTATGGCCGAAATCGGTGGTGATGAACAGATATAGATCTGTTCGGCAACGACCTGCAGATCTGCAACCATCGTCGATCATGCGGCTAGAGTTTGGCTACAAGGTCGGCGACTAGGGTTTCTGAGGCGGCGGATTGGTGCGACGGCTTGGCGGCAGAGATTGGGGGATTGAGCGGATGAAATATGAAATATGAAATATTTCATTAATGGCGGGCTGTGCTGATTGAAGGGCTATGTGGGTGGTGGTGTTGGGAACCAATTGTGCAAGGACTGGTGGTGGTGCAGGGTTTGTGGCGAGCGGGTTGATCTGTGCTGGTCAGCCTTCCGGGTGGTGGTGGTTGCCGGATAACTGAGGTTGGTTAAGGACAGTTCAGAGGATTGGGCAGGGGGTGGGGATAGGGGTTTGGGTGGCTGTGATGTGGGGAGGTGGTGGGGCAGGGGGCTGAGTGGGATCTAGTGCATTTGGCAGAGGTGGGCAGGGATTGGGGCTAGGTGGGGGTCTGGTCTCTGCATAGGGGGCTAGGGGGCGGGGCATGAGCAGAGGTGGTGGCTCGGAACAGACAAGGGAGGCAATGGCGGCTTGGGTTGTTGTTGGTGCCAGGCTGCCTGAAAAGGAGTCGGAAAATTTTATGGCGGTTGCGTCACTGTGGCGGCGTCACTGTGGCGGCGGCTATAGTGACACCAGTGATGGCTACAGTGACACCGGTGATGGCTACAGTGACACTAGCAGTGACTATAGTGACACCGGTGGTGGCTACAGTTAGGGCTGAGCACGGGTCGGATTCGGGCGGGTCGGGTCTGCGTACCCTAAACCCGTTCGGGTTTTTTTAAGTTAAATTAAATACTAGACTCGACCCTTTTGATATTTCAAATCGGGTTTTTCGGATATTTGTAAGTCGGATATTATCGGATATCAGATCGGGTTTCGGATATTTCAGTTATATTAAACAAAATTATATTTGGATAATTAAAGTGTTTGAATGCCCCTTTGACAAAGATTCTACAAACTAGTGCACTAAACATTCAAATTACGCAAATAATTTAATACAAATTGCATAAATAATTACACAAATAATTGAACACAAGTATTAATTTAACATATTCAAAGTACACACTACATAATTTTATATATTTCGAATATTTCGGTTATATTGAAACACATTATAATTGGATAATTAAAGTGTTGGAATGTCACTTTGACAAAAATTGTACACAGTATCTAGTGCACTACACATTCAAATTACAAAAATAATTTAACACAAATTGCACATATAATTACACAAATAATTGAACACAAGTATTAATTTAACATATTCAAAGTACACACTAATATATTTTGGATATTTGGGCGGATCGGGATGGGATTTTACATACCTTACCCGCCACCCGATCTAGGCCCAATACTAATCGGATTTTCGGGTTTTTCGGGTTGGATATCCATTTCGGTTCAGATATTATGTGAAAAAAACTTCGGGTTTTGCGGGTCGGTTCGGGTTTTGCTCAGCCCTAGCTACAGTGACATGAGCGGTGACTACAGTGACACAGACGTCGGCTTTAGGAGTTCTATTTTGTTCACACCCTTCATGGAGGGTGAACATCACCCCCTCCCTCCAACACATGACACTTGGCATTACATTTGCAAAATTTAAAAGTCTTGCCAAGTGTCATGTGTTGGAGGGAGGGGGTGATGTTCACCCTCCATGAAGGGGGCTTTAGTGACACGTGCGGTGACTATTGTTACACACTTACACGTGCAACAACTACAGTGACACGGATAGCGACTACAGTGACACGAGCGGCGGCTACAGTGACACGGGCGGTGGCTACAGTGATACAGGCGGTGGCTACAGTGACACAGGCGGTGGTTGTAGTGACATGGGTAGTGGTTGTAGTTACAAAATAAACAAACACAGTGGCATAAATTTTTTGCAGTTACATCATGTTTTATAATTGCACATATATGTGATATCAATAACACTGCAACTGACCTGTGCAGTTTTGATGATGAATCTATAACCTGGAATCTTGAAAGCAATGGGCAGTTCTCACTTTCATCAGCCTACAATGAAGTCAGAGAGAAGAGATCTATTACATTCACATCCAAGCATAATTGGAACAAGCAGCAACAAATGCAAGTCAAGGTATTCATGTGGAAGTTGCTTAATAATTATTTACCTGTGACTGATAATTTACAAAGGTTTCAAGTTGTTATCAATCCTTCGAGATGTCCTTTATGTAAGAACCACAGGGATTCTACTAATCACCTCTTTTTTGGCTGCACTTTCGCGAGGAAAATTTGGGAATATTTTATGGGGATTTTTAGCATTCCAATTCCTAGGGCTGGTTCTATCCGACAGGTTACAGTCCTATGGTGGTTGGAAGCTGGCTCTAAATCTCTAGTTGATATCTTCAAGCATAACCTACCTGGTATAATAAGTTGGCATATATGGAAGGTTTACTCATCACACATTTGGGGTTCTACTTCTATACCTCACTATGAACATGTTATTTCTCAAATTAAAGTATATACTCAGAGGTGGGCGTGTACACTGATGAAACTGAAATCAAGGAAAGTTGATGATTTCTTATTCCAAGAACAATTAATTCCTTCTAATTTCAGGTTTCACAAATCAGGATGGCAGATGGTTAAATGGAGAAGGCCTATTAACAATTTTAAACTGAATGTTGATGCATCGTTTTTACTTGGTCTGGCGAAAGGAGGTGCCATTCTTCGGAATCGTGAGGGGGAGCTGGTCTGGGCTACGAGCTTCAAAGTGATTGCTACAACGAGTGAAGACGCGGAACTCCAAGCGGTTATCTATGCTGTGTCTATGGCGATGGAAATGGGTTTTGATGGCTTTCAGGTAGAATCAGATGCGGCTGGAGTTATTTCTATGCTTAAGGACGATTGAGGAAAGTACGCAGGCATTCAGGCTTTTAGAAGGAAGGCTATTGGGAAAAGGATTACCTTTGGACATGCTTTCAGGGAAGCGAATGGGCCGGCACATCATTTGGCGGGCTTACATATTCAGGCGGCACATACTGTTCTTTTTGACTCAGTACGGAATATGCCTTCTATGGTTAAATCCAGTTATTTTACTGATCTCTTCGGGTTTCCATACTTTCGTAGTTAATTTTTCCTTCATGTATTTTTATTTATTTTTGTTTGGATTGCCTTCCTTTTATCTCTAATTTCCTCAGGAGAGGTCTTGGTCTGGTCCCCCTCTCTTTTGTACTCTACATGCTTATCAATAAAATAACGGCATATGACTCCCGGCATTTGCCCCACTGATTTTGGTGGTTTGCCTTCCGGGATAAAATATATATATATATATATATATATATATATATATATATATATATATATATATATATATATATATATATATAATTGCACATATATGATATTCTTAATAATTTTTTTGCCCCTTTTTAAAAGTGGTCACTTTTTTGGTAATTGGTTTAAAATTAGTACTAGTAATATTCAAGTAAAAACCTCTAAATTTTGACCAATGATATATTTTCATGGGAAATGCTTTATAATATAAAAATTATACGAAAATGTTATTTGTCGAAGATACTTACATAATAGTATAAAACTTACAATTTTAATAATGTCATACTGCCTCCGTCCCAATTTGATGATCCCGTATTTCCTTTCTGGGCCGTCCCATTTCCCTTTTTGGAAAGAAATATGTGGTCCACATCATTTCATCTTTTTATACTCAAATCTCAACCACAACTTTTATCTTTTCAACAACTTTCTTAATATTTGAGCCCAAAAGAAATGGGATCATCAAATTGGGACGGAGGGAGTACTAATCAAAGATGACATTATTTAACACCGTTGAATATTATTTGACATTGTGAAGTCATTATTACTTAAAGACTGCTAAAATAAATTCACAAAAAATTGTTTACCAAATAAGGAAAGAGCTGAATTTATTTAGAAACATCCAAAAAGAAAAAGTGATTAAATTATGGGGGGGGGGGGGGGGGGGAATTAAACTCTAGCAATGGACTAAATATTAATTGGCACCGAATACAAACAAAAATGTGGACGTGCCGGAGTGGTTATCGGGCATGACTAGAAATCATGTGGGCTTTGCCCGCGCAGGTTCGAATCCTGCCGTCCACGCTTCTTTTTTTGTCATACGTTTAGGCTGCCGTTATGATAAGCGGAGTACTGCGTATTTTTGAAGTTGGAACAAAACTCGGGAAAAGGTAGGAAAATTACATTTTTAACACTTCCCAAAAATTAACAAGATAAAAATAAAGATCTGCAAAACTAGACCGAATATCTATAATGTACCTAGATGGAAAAGCATTCAAGCATTTCGCTTCCAGGGTTTCAGACATAGCTAATAGCTTGAAGCGATCTAATATAAGATCAATATTGTACATACCTTTTAAAATTTAAAAACAAAAAGCTACTACCCACGTCCCTTTTTTATTGGGACGGAAGAGGGTGACACCAGTTTTAAGAAAAATGAGTTTGTGTGATTGATATTAATTGATAAACTAAGAATAAAGTAAAAATGATTTTGAGCCACACAAACTTTACCAAATAAGATATGAGACAATTAAATAGAGATATCCCAATATGTTAAAACGAGACACTTAGAAGGAGAAGTGGGAGTAATTAACAACCACAATGCCGGCCATAAAGAGCAATAGGATATTAGGATCCACAATAGACATGTAATGATAGAACGTAACATTGATACTCATCTAAAGAATTGCCAACCAAAATGTACTCGGTAATAATTTATGAGAATTTTTGTGATATGTTATGAACATAAGAGCTCTCATAGGCTTTCATGAAATCTTGTACCATAACCTGGATTCTAATGGATTTTCATCCTACCAAATATAGATTTTAACAAATAAAAAAATTGATTGATTCCCTTTAAACATTTACAACGTAAATCTTATAAGTTACTCCGTATACTTCTTTCGTCCTGAATTGTATTGCAATTTGTGGTATTTAAAGTTGATCAACAATAAAGTTAAATCATCCATGTTAATGATTAAATTAGTTTTAATAATTAAAATTTACATATTTAAAAACTACATTGAAAATTTTATAGTCACAGAATCAAAATAAAAATATAATTGAAAAAAATGGCATGCTAAATAATTAATAGTGTGTAGCCAGGGCAGTATATCGGGCTAGAAAGGTACAAATATTTTTTAAAATAGAATTGAAATTTGGGATGGGCCAAACCTAGCAGGCCCCTCCTAGCTAGCCTTTGCAAAATAAGTAAATAGAATGAAATGTATTAACTAACTTTGCAAATAATTTTAAGACATGGAGTATGTATTAATGCTTCAAACAACATGCTGGAATTAATAAGAGAATTAATAAGAAAATTTACGTTATCACATACTTGTATTTTAGATTGTTCAAGTAATAGTTTACAAAACTATGGTTACCATGTGAGAACAATATTTTGCAACATTGAAATAGTCTAGATTGGATAAGTGTTGTTTGTAAATGAATGAACCAAAAGTATAAAAACAAAGACATTAAGAGGTTAGATGATACAAACATCTACATCATTGAGTGACAAATATAACGTTACCACTTTAGCTAAATTACACTTTATCCTTTAGTAATATGACTTTTTTCTCATCCTTTTAAGAATATAAAAAATGAGCATTAACAATTTCCTTTAAAAAAAACTGTGGTACAAAAATGGGCACAATCTTTACTTTCTGTTTATACATGTTCAAACTTGATCAATATTAGTGAAATTGAGGAAATAGTTTTATAACAAAAAGTTGTCTAACTCCTCTCACTGTGAAGACAAATGCTCTCTTCACAGAAAACGGTGAAGTCTTATGGTGATGCCTTCTAGCTCCACACTTCCTACATCGATCTTATTATTCATTTTATAATCACATCATCCTACGATACAAAATATGAAAATATTATACTACCTCCGTCCCATTTTATGTGCCTCCTTTAACTTTGGCACAATTATTAATAAAATGGTTGAAAATGTAGAAGTTGTGGTTGAGATTTGAGTTTAATAAAGTGAAATGTTGTGGAACACATATTTCTTTCTAAAAAGGGAAAGGTGACACTAAATTTGGGAGAACCCAAAAAGGAAAGTAAGACAGGTAAAATAAGACGGAGGGAGTAATTCTTATACGGGAATCAAAATGAGAACCGACATTTTGTCAAACACTCCCTTGATGTACAAATATATTGAAGTTGTTAACAGGGGTGGTTCAATACAAACTATCATGCCTTTCCCCTCCTGTGTCATGGAATCCCCAGCTTTTAAATAGTGGGAGATAAATCTAAATAATAGTTTCTGGGATATAATTAGTTAATTACATATCCACCCCAAAGCTTCCCCACACATTTTGATCATCAGATGACGACGGTGAGTCTCCAAGTACAGAGTGGATCTTTGTCCTCGTTGACGGGTCAGGAAAGTTCCAGAAAGAATCAGAGTTCTCAAAGAATATGTAAAATGCCACAGCTGATGCTAAAAATAAGCCCAACAACAACAGATATATCTGCCATTCTGCAATGGGCAATATGGTAAAAGAGATCGGTCTCAGATTCTGAATTGTTGAGATGTAATTACGAAAAATGCACCAACCAACAGAGAGAGAAAGACAAAGAGAGATACCTTTCCAATCCGCTGGAACACTCAGTTTGGTCACTATTAATCCCCACTCCGCAGATGTTGTAAGAACAACCCTGCAGATGCATAACAACTATAGCATGACACAATGCATAACAAAATTTCTTATGGGCCATATTTGGATCTCCAAAAATGCTACGGATAGAAAAGAAAATGCAATGGAATGCCATTTTCTTATGCTTGGACTTCCTTCTAGAAAATTGAAATATGATTAATATTTATAATTTCTTACATTTATTTAGATGTCTTAGTGTTTAAATAATACGAATAAATGAATAAAATGAACTCAAAAGAGTACTAAACCAAAGTTTATTGAGTTAGAACCATTGAGCATTTGAGAACCAAAGTTTTATTTTCCTGAAATATCTCCTTTCCTTGTGAAACTCTCCTACATTTCCTTCCTATTTTCTTTCCCTAGCATTTTCGGTGTTCAAAATGGACCCTTACTATTTCCGTGATTGGTATACTGCAAAGCTCTCATACAACAATGTGCAATTAAGATCTGGGCTAAAACATCAATTCTGAAAACTGAAAATGTACCCAAACATTGAGAACTGAAAGGTTTTCTTAGACCCCATTTGGAAAGGGAAAATTTGTCGAAGTTGCTGAATTATGAAAATTGTGTTTCATTTTTTTTAATAAAATACAGAACAAAATGGAAAAGGGTTTAAATGATCATATAAGACAACTTCAACAAATAAACTCCTGCGAACCTGCTTCATTTTGAACCTGCTTCTTTTCATTATAACCCAATTCAGTGCATAGTGCAAACAATCGAATAATTTAGTGTTTGGTAAAACTTGTGTCTATGAAGGTTGATTAGCTACATAAGTGGCTGCCAAATGACTACTTAGATGAGTACCATTACCACACCTTTCGCTAGGACAAAACTCCAATGATGTGATGTATGAGCCAGAGTGAAGCCTCCTATTATAGTGGGACACCTCCATCTTTTTTACTTCAATGATGCAAACATCCCCATCTGTGCTTCCCCTGCATTGTTTGCGCCGCCCATTAACTTGAGAGAAAATTTATCCCATTTAAATGTTCTGAAGGAATGAAGAGCCAGAAAAAAGACATACACAGCAAGATATTTCCCATCAAAGCTAATTGACATCATGGAAGCTGCCTTTTTAAGTAGGCTTTTATGCCCAATTTTCTTCCACTCACTGATGTCCCAAACCGCAATCAATGTCTTATTGCCTGTTTGTTATGGGGGACATGATTCAGATTCTGAGATTCAACTATATTTTACATAAATGATGATATTAATATACAAAGCCTGATGTGAGTGTGTTGTCCTACCCTTTTGAACAACACAGAACAAAAAAGGCTTTGTCCCATCTTTAGAGAAGCGGCAAAGTTCAATCTTCTCATCCTGTGGTAGAAAAGATGGAACGACACGATATCTAAATCATGATCATGTATAAATGAAAGTAATCAGGGGTTGTAATTTTAGGATATGGCTGGATCCGGAAATGTTAGGGAAAGGGGAAAAAACTAAGATATGTTGTGTTATTATGTTTGGATCTACTTCAGAAATTGTAAGGGAAAGTGAAAAATAAATAATATTTTTAAATTTGTACATTTGTTAAGATTTCTTAGTATTTATATTATACATCCAAACATCTATAGGCCCTAAGTTGATTTAGTTTGAAGTTTGAACTAATATTTTATTTTCCTTGACACTTCCCTTAAATCTTTCATATTTTTTTCCTCAAAGTTTTCTTTCCCTAGCATTTCCTGTGTTGGAAATGGACCCACAATTCGTATGACACATACAGTGTTTCGTGTGAGAGATGTCACTGGAACACCGTCACTCGTTTTCCATATTCTTGCTGCACCATCAGTGGATGTAGATGCTAAAAACTCTGAATCTAAACTAAAATCCATATCTTGGAACGACTTGTGAGCTTTTGGTTCATCAACAATGCTGCGCATATTTGGCCACTCAAAGAGTCTAAAGTGCCCATCCTGTAGATTAAATATAAGAATTGTAGGAACATAGTAACACAGGAACAATACAAAAAAAGTTCATTACCGAAGAGCGTGTTAGTGATCATAAGAATGCTTACAGCTCCACCAGAAGCCAACTTAGATCCATCAACACTAAAAACCAGGCACTTTTGTCGGCCCACATCTTGAAGATGGTTGAATTCTTTGCACGCTAGTTTTAGATTATCTTCTCGCCCACACAACTCGAACAATCTATATGCAGGACACAATTTTACAACAATCATATTTAAGTGCATTGTAGGAACCCCACAACCAAAGTTAATTAATGCATCATCTCCCATGTCCACAGGAGGCAAGCCAAAGACTTCGGTTGAGAGATGGTTTAGTATGTCCAAGGAGATGGTGACTCAAAATTTACTCTAGACCTTTTAAGATGGAAGGTTTTAATATTGGCGACTCGTTGTAAATTACTCTCATAATTTACAAGACAGTGACTCATTAGGAATTTATAGCAAGCCAGTCCTGAAAGTACCTTTTTGAGTCTTAACTGGGCCTGCATTACTTTTTTGAGATAGATTTTGATACACTTGAACTTCATCTAAATGATAGTCTCATAATAGGAGTCACAGAAACACTTGTAGCTTGATAGTGTTATTATAATGAAAGAAACAGATGGGGCAAATTTAATGTCTAGATGAACTCCCAGAAGTGAGGTAGCTGAAACCCCAAAATCACTCCATACTCCGTACCAGTTTTAGTAATTAAAATCTAAGAAACATGTAAACGGTGATAAATTGCCAAACAGTGACCAATTTTATCCAGAGAGATAGAGAGGACTGACTTGCAGCCAGTGGGAGTTGAGCAAACGACGACGTCTCCACTGGGATGCACTGCAATGCAGACGGGATAACATCCTTCCTCGAACAAATACTTGGCCTGCAAAGTCAACTCTCACGGAATTCAGTTCGGTTAATGCATTTAGAGCTAAACAGAAAAAAGTCACGTTACTGTTTTCGGCAAGTAATCGCAGCACGCAAAAAACCAGTGACCTTAGGAGAAGGAGAAAAGGAAGTGGTCTTGGGATCAAAGGAGAAAATCTCGAGCGATGAAGGCGTCGACTTCCCGACCGCCAGGAGATGCGCGTTTTCCGGTCGTCTGATCCATGAAGCACACGTCACTGTCCCTTCCCCCAACGCGTCTCCGCCGTCCATCTCCCCGCCGGTTGAATTTTCCAATTCTCAACTACCAAAACTAACAAGAGTCCGAACAAGTCAAATAACTACAAGTCTACAACTCCCTGTTACCCTGTATCTCAACTTAACTTGAATGAGTTCGGTTCAACTCGGTTTTGCGTTTCAAAATATAAAATCATACTCGTATTCAATTTGTTTTGATTAGGTTTCGGTTTTTTTTAGGTTTTTACTAAAAATATTATCATGACTTGAAATGATAAAACAATTGGGATCAATTACTCAATTATTATATTATCTCCGGCTCACTAACATTGGCATAAGAGGAGATGACACGGTTTTTAACAGAAGTAAGTTAATGTGATTGATATTAAATTAATAAAGTAAGAATGATCTAAAACCATACAAATTTTACTGAATTTAGTATGAAACAACAGGTACGGGACCGTACCAAATCGAACCGAATGCCGGATATTGAAGCGATTCTGCAGAATTTTGTCCTGAACCAAATCGTATAATTTGAAACAGGTACAGACCAGTCCTAATTTTTGAGATCCGAAAAATATCGAACTGAATCGTTCAAGAATAATGCATGTGAGATTTCTATATTTTTTCCATACCAATAAATTTTTTCTATAGACCAACAACTTAATAGTTCAAGTATGTATTCATGCATCACTAAAATAGCTAAATGTGTGTATTTATAAAAAAAAACTACGGAGTATTCTTTTTTCTTTTTAGATAATTTATGTTTTTTTAATACTAATTTATGTTATATTTGGTATATATTGAAAATCCTTAATGACTATTCATTTCTAGTAAAGTAGTGTATATGAATTTTATTGTATCATATTACGTATTTGTGTAGTTTTACAACTTAATTTATATGTTTTGAATTTTAGTACATACGGTTCAACTATGAATTATATTAGAACTAATATTCAACCTAGAATAAAGAAGAATGTTAGATTTTTTAATTATATTCAACAATTTGATGATATTCTTTTTTTCATTTTCACATGAATTAAATAAAGATGGTATTTATCTGATGTATCATTATTTTGCTATATTTTTGTTTTGTTGTGCTGCACGATTTGATTATTTGTGAATTTAAATACAAAAAAGTCAGCCTCTTGAATCTTTACTAGTATTTAATATGCACTATGTTGTTTTTTATAAACATTTCATGTGAATTGACCGGTGTGATTAGGGATGGAATGGGCCCTGTGATCTAACCCGGAACCGATACTGTTACTAACGGCTCAAGACCGGTACTAACAGTACCGGCCCAGGGCCGGTTTTTCGGTACCGGAACCGTGGTAAAAGAGGGTCGAGATTCGAGCTTAAATTTTTGGGACCGGACGAGACGGTCCCAACCGCTACTTTAAAAAAAACAATTAAAGGGTATCAACTCAGGCCCGACCCGGGACCGGTACTATTTGGACTTGAACCGGAACCGGGCCAAACCAGGTCAGTAATGAGCTTCAATTATTTAAAATCAGGACTGACCGAACCTGAGACCGACCCGAACCAGCCTGGTTCCATCACTTCCATGGCTAGGTGTGATGATATCTACTAATTATAAAATTTGTCCAAATGTTTTAGCGTGTTTGACAATGTACCGAACTATTTTGTAGCATTCCGAAACAACATGGTACCGAATTGTTCCATCCTTAAAACGAGAACATACTGAACCGTTAAAAATCTCACGGAGTACATTACAGATTTTGCTTGTATTATCTTTCATGAAATAAAACGTATTAAATCTTAAGTTCTAATTACAAAAAAAATACTACTGTTGTATAATCAATGTTTACAGGTTTTATGTCACCAATCACCAAAGTCGCCATAAACAAGGTTTTAAGTTTTAACTATGGTAGATAAGATTTTATCCCTGGTTTTGCATATCTGGGAACACACAAAAAAACAAAAAAAACATTTTTGCACAATCACCTTTTTGTGTAATGATCGTTACAAGAATCAAATAGTAAGATATGTAATACGGAGTAATAACAAAGAAACGCAATACAATTAAAGGTATTATTCCGTAATTTCTTTAAATCAAATACTCACCTCGTCTGCAAAAAGCACAAGTCATATTATTGAATACAGCTTAATAACTTCGATAAGGTGAACGTAAAAAGGCCATAGTAGACCAATATACTTCGTATAACTTATATTCATATTAATTAATAGTGGAACACGATAGCTTTATTAGTCACTAATCACACTTGCATGAATTTGATTTAACAAGGTTGATCATATTTATAAATTTTGCTTTTTACTTTTGACAATTAATTTTCAAAATAATCTTATTTAAACGAGGACTCTTTCTTGATTTTTTGTAAACATGTACTCCATATTAAGAAGAGTTAACTAACAGCAACAGCTGCTAAAATAATGTATGGAACCACAGATTATTTCTAGCGTTCTCTCTCTAGGGACGCCCACCTCTTGTTGGTCCCCACGGGAGGCTATGTTAGCCAAAAGGTGGTCCTCAACATAACTCGGACCTGCTTGATTAAAGCAATGTTTTGGCCTTTGTACCAGAAGTTCTATATACCACGGTATTTCTTTTTACCACAACATAAGTTCAGACAGTTGTTCTGCCCAGGGATTGCCCTAAAGGTGCAAAACCTCAACCTGACCTGCAATTGGATCATTGCCTCAAGCTCTCCACAATGTAAGAAGCGTACAAATCCCTGAGTTAAAAAAAGCACAACAAAAGTTAGGGCACCAAACATCGTTTTAGGCTTGCAAAACTGCAAAAGGTCCAGTTCCTGACCAGCCTGTTCTCAAACCGTTGGGTAATCTATTGTGGAGAGCTGGTCAGGTAAAACCGCCCATTCGCGATCCTTTTTTGAGCATTAAGCAAAAATTAGGGACCCAAACTGACCAGTCGAGTTCTACTATATATGAACCGAAACAGGACCAGCATATCCGTATTTGCCCAGTTACTGGTTCTGGGTCATTGGATAGGACAAAAGGCTGAGCTGGTCATTGGATAGGACAAAATGCTGAACTGTCCATGTCCAGGAACCAGAACTGTGCTCACCTCTACTTTGTAATTCATTTACTTAAGAAAAGGTTGGCAATCAAAGGCAAGGGCCCAAACTGCCGTTGCCCTGAAGCATTGATGGAGACAGATTGCAATTGGGAAACAACTTACATGGAGTATTTAATAGCATCAACAGCAGCTTCTGCAGGCAAGAAGTCTTCCACTGCCACAGATTTGTTCTCATTCTTCTTGTCTGTTTTATGCTAATGTTAAAGGATTCTCATTTCTCATACATACATTGGATGTGAAATAATAATCCCAAACTTCTAGCTCATACTCCCTCCGTAACTTAAAAATCTTCCCACTTTCCTTTTTCGTCCGTAACACAAAAATCTTCCCATTTCTAAATCTTCCCATCATACCCTCAATAATTCTTAAAATAATACACTATTACAACTACTTTTTTTGGATTTATCCCACATTCCACTACATTATTCCACTATTTTCCCATCATACCCTCAATAATCCATATCATCTTTCACTATTCTTAATCTACCTACTTTTGAAATGGGAAGATTTTAAAGTTACGGAGGGAGTAGTATATAGTTACTATGGCAAGTGCCACTATAAATGCAATAAAAATAAAAGAAAATAAAATAAATACGCAGTATATTTTATAAATAAAAAATTAAGAGGGGGTTAAATGTAGTGGGGATACAGTCCTCAAAAAACCGGCGGATTTCAGCAAGACGGTGTGGAGGAAGTTCTTTAAGGTCATTATAATGACGAAACTCAGGATCATCAGCACACACTGCTATTATCTTGTCATCCCTTTCATCCTGTAGAGCAAATCTCTTATCCTTTAGGGTTTGTTTCGAACACAAAAAATGCTAGTGAAATAAAATAGAGAAAGTAATATGCTATATAGCTAGGAAAGTACCAAGTTAAAACAAATTTGATTAAAAGGGTTTAAAAATTTACATATATACTCCCTCTGTTTGACTGTTTCCCTTATAACTTTGCCAGTTTGACTGGCATATGGAATAATAACTTAAAAATGTGTGGTTGAGGTTTGAGCAAGGAGAGACAAAAAAATAGGAGCCACAAATTAATTGATTAAAAGGGAAAGTCATAGTTTTTGTGAAAAAAAAGAAGAAAAGATGACAAAATTATAAGGGGCAGAGGGAGTATGTGTGTGTGTATATATATATATATATATATATATATTGAGGGAGTATATATTTATAATTTGTAGTATACAGGGCTATACTTAATAGAAATGTATAAATAATATAAGTTTGAACAAATACCTAAAGCTTTTTTATTATGTTTGAACCAGTTTTAATTGTATTTCCACAAATTTTATTTCCTTCGAACTTTCCCAAATTCACCCCGCCTCCCTGTAATCATTATCTTGCATTTTCCTGATACCCATATTACTTTAACATACATTGGTATATTGATCAAAATCTCATCATTTTGAGAGCATATATTTGCTACTTGTTTTCTAATAAAAAGATACTCCATCTATCCCGTAAAGCTTGGAAAAAGTTGACTTGCCCGTGGAATAAGATAGTAAAATTGTATGGTTGAGATTCATTCATATCAGAGAGAAATAACTTTAACCATGTATTTATTACTTTAAATGGAAATAACAAAGTTTTTTGTTGTAAGACAGAGAGAGTGTCATTTTGCTGAAGACCTGAGGTTATAAACAAATAAGATTTAAGGTACTGACCTGATCGATCATAGGCATTAATCCAATTGCACGAGCACGAAGAAAGGTACTAGGTAGAACAGGCTCCTAAAATGACAAGGGAACATTTTACAAGTGAAGAGATGAATTTAAGACTTTGTTTTATTACAAAAAGCTTGTTAACCAGAAACCTGCATAAGTACGAGGACATCCATTGGATCACCATCTTCACAGATTGTCCTCGGAATAAACCCATAGTTATGTGGATAAACCACAGATGAGTAAAGAACTCTATCCACCTAACAGTAAAGTAATAGTTACTTTATGATAAGATGTACTAATGAATAATCGCAAGAAAAAAAAATACAAAACATGTGTACAAGAAGGTATAATCTTCGTCATTTGACTTTATAGTCTTAGTTTGTCACATCACATTTAACTCATTCTCTAAGATCCAGTTACAAAATGGTAATTTTAAACAAAACCTTTTATTTTGTATTTCTTGCCTAGAACATAAAACAACATCTCAAAAATTCTATAATACTAACATCTAAAATATACAGTCCAATGATTTCCATTACCAATTTACCAGCTCACTTGCAAGATGTAAGCAAACTTATTCCAAATAATCAACCATTTGTCTACGCTGCACCACTAAAGCTGTGAATATGGAGGCATTGCTTTTTCCCTTCCCATAAAAGAGTCATGTTTGTATTACACACAAGATTCTTTTTTTCTATATCGAGTAATCTATTTTTCCGTTCGCCCATTGCAGTTGCAATTGAACTAAGACCCGTTCACCCGTTCGGTAACATTGATCAGCTTATTCTGCTGACATATTTGGCTGACACGAAATTTACTTAACGTTTTTGCTTTCATACATGTCAACATATTCAGCCAAATAAATCTTAGTAAATGGTTAATTAAGCTATGTTTGGAATGGGAAAAATGGTATGAAAATGCTAAGCAAAATACTTTCTTATGTTAAGCTTTACCTTGGGAAATACAGAGCTAATCATTTTACATTCTTTTTACATATGAAAGGCTTATTAGTCTTCTGAAATTTGAAACACAAAAATAAATAGTGGAAATCCAAAATGACATGTTAAGTCCTTTTTTTTACCCCGGGGCCGGGGTTCATGGGGAGGGGGCTGTGGGGCCTTGTGTAAACAGGGCTGAAACTGCCTCCATGGAGTTTCAAACCCAAGACCTTCCATATGGGGGAGTGAGTGGCGTCCAGTTGAGCTGGACTGTTTCCTCAATGATTATTTGAAAGTCAAACCAACTGAACTCACTTTGATAAGGCCACTGTTTTTATCAAGTTCATACTTAACTTTCCCACCCTTTCCTATCTCAACAACCTGCAACATGAATAAATACCTCAGATCAGGTGTTCAACCATTACATTGACACTATAACACTATTCGAGCAAACACTAGTATCTAATACTACCTCTGTCCCAATTTCATGGTCTCATTTCTTTTGGGCACAAATTTTAATAAAGTTGTTGAAAAGGTAAAAATTGTGGTTGAGATTTGAGTAGAAAAAGGTGAAATAATGTGGACCACATCTTTCTTTCCAAAAAGGGAAACGGGACCATCATTTTGGGACATCCCAAAAAGGAAATACAGGACCATCATTTTGGGACGGAGGGAGTAACGGATATTAGGAAGTTGTCATTAAACATACACAATTAAACACCGCTGGTGCACCTGGACCTGCAACCGCATAACAATGAACATATGAGCATTACTGGCTTTATGATCTAAAGTGACTAATTTATAAGTAATGTAGCAATTAATACCAATTTCTAAGTCATGCCATGGGTGAGCAGCTACAGATTTGTGAGACATAGAGGACAGGATCCTTTCATTCAGTACAGAATTAGAGATTCCCGAGGTTTGTCCACTCACATGTTTACTTTTTTCCGCCATATTCAACTAAGAAGAAGGGGAATAATTATATAAGTAACTCTTGAAAAGGAAAAGAGGATGACAGCAATTAGCAAGATGGTGAGTTTTATGACAAGACAAACAACTATTGTAGCTATATCAAATTATCAATAACACTAGAGTCTTCAATATCAAAAAACGACCATTTGCATCTATTTCAGCAAAACGAGATAAACATTTTTCATCTCATTATTTACAATTGGAAGAAAAAGTCACTTATTAAAAATCTCAAACAATCACAAGTTTGACATTATTATAAAGGAGAACTCTCATCCTTCCTAATCACAAATTTCAATCTGTAAGATGAACAAAAAATTGTTCATATTTTCCCGCACCAACAATGTAGATCTCTGCATAAATTTTTCTTTTGTCAAAACAGAAAATAAAATCTGCCAGAAACTGCAATTTTCTTAATAGATAAACATTAAAACTGGAACAGAAACATTCTAATGTAATAGCTTCTCCTAATATTTTATTTAAAATAGACCTGTCTTATAAAAAAAATAAAATGCAAAATCAATCTGGTCTAAATAACAATATTGTATATGTATATGGATAAAAATATTTGCAAAAGTGGTTTATTGATCTAAAAATTGCCCTCAAATTATCGCACCATCCGAAAATAACCACCACTTACTGGTTTATCATTATAATTATAAAACTATATACGGGTTTGTGTATAATCATATACAGGTTGACATCAAATGAGAGCTAGGAACTTTCCTATATGGAATTGCTATTGATATGATTCTTTACACTTTTAATCCATAATATCTAACATGACTTTTTTATTACTATCTTTACCTTTTTCATTCATTCAACCTTCATTAATCGAAATTCATAGCAATACAAATATGCCAAACAGCCACGTGAGAAAATGTATGCTCGGTCTTCAATTCAATTCAATTCTCAGTTGGCATCAACCCATATACATACAATTATACAAACAAACCAACAAATGCATACATATACATATATACATATATATACATACACAATTACACATATTGTTAGGTATGAGTAGAAATTTGTGATGTGACGTACACATTTTCGAGAAATATAGGACTGATAGATGATATTTAGAGTAAGACATCTGATTTGAAATTTCGATCATACAAAAACTAATGACGATAGAAATATTAAATAATTGGTTCATATAGGATAGTTCAAGTGTATGTAAAAGGATGGAAGTTGACGCAGCGAAGACTGAAGATGGAGCGTTGAAAAAGAAGTACCTGGTTGGACGATGAAGGACTGAAGGAGAAGGGTGAATTGCGGATAGGAGACCAGAGTCTTCAGGGGTGGAGTCAAATATTAGCCCAATATGAATGGTAGGAAATTAGTGGGCTTGGGTTCCATGGCCCAATAAGTTAATCTGTAAAGTATTATTCAAACCATTCTATCTAGGTGTGTGGGATATATTTTAGGAAAAATTGATTGTAATAATCCCATGTGCCCAACTATTCACGGTCCGCTCATAATAATCTCAACTATCGATTATTTCATAATAATCCCAACTTTAGGGAACTTTCGCCAATAATGCTCCGACATGACCGACTATAAATAAATTCATATAGTTTCTAAAGTAGATGAGAAGAGATATAACAGATAATCCCTATAAATAATCCCAACTTTTAATTTTTATGCTTAATTTCTATTAAAAATCACATGTTATAGCAGGTAATATCTGGTCATGGACCATTCTTGGCGGACGGTCCATATAGTTGGGATTATACAAAAATAATCTATAGTTGGAATTATTGTTAGCGGACCAGAAAGATGCATTTATGTGGTTAATATTGAATTGATTAAGTAAAAGTGATTTAGAATTACACAAGTTTTATCATTGGTGTGTGACAATTTTAGCGAGACAAATCAAACACGAAAGATGAGACAATCTTAACAGTATGAAGAGAGTGGTTATTAATAGTGTTTAGGTTTAAATATGTTTTAGTATCTACAAGTATGACACATTTTTTTTAAGTTCCTGCAAATTATTTTTATTGCAAAGTTTTGGTTATGGTTCATATCTAACTGCTAAACCACCCTACTAAAGAATGTTATGGTCGGTTTAATAAACTTACTAGAAACCATTTATCCTTTTGTAAAAAATTTAGTCTAATATAAGAGTTAAAACAATGTAAAATTAATTGTTCACCTACATTTTTTAAATATGTATTAAGAACATTCTACAAAATGAAATTAAATACTTTCTAATAAAATGATAAAGAATTATAGGAAACCTACTAATCACATATACTACGTATTAGTAATTGTTTCATTGTTGTCATTTATATAACATGTATACTTGACTACTAGTGTATCGTATTGAGTTGTATCTGTAAGTTACCAACTTTTTTGAAATTATTTTAAACATTCGGATACACACATTAACTATAAACAAAACACTCAAAAGCTAATAATAAAAGTCTTTAAAATGTTTATCGAAACTTTTAGTTTTGTAATTAGAATACTGCTTTCTATCTTCATTGAGAATATTTTATCCGAGTAAGTTATACCGTCAACAAAAATGTTAAATAATAAAGAATGAAATAAAGTTTTTAATAATAAACATGCTATACTTTAATTTTTTATAGATAACGTATAATTTTACTCTACACTTTATCCCGAAAACTGAAAAGTGTGTGTTTTCTCACGTATAGTTCAAGATATATTTATATAATCTATTTTTTATTTTATTTTATTTTTACTTTTGCTAGTATGTTTGAATTGTTTTTATGTTAGAGGCTTTACTTTTTGCCTAACATCTTTTGCAAGGAAAAAACTAACACCAAAAATGACTTTTTACTTTGATTCCGTATTTGATTTTGGGCAAAGTCTATGTGAAAAATGTACTCACCTCTATATCTTTTTTAACATAAAAGAGCGGTCGTTATATTAAAATCGATAACACATACAAGACAACCATTAGATAGAAATCATAGAATTTACAAATCCAATCGTGAGCCATATGAGTAGACTTAAAGTCAGCCACCTCATACAAAGCAATTTTAGGCCTAAAATGACTGTAACCGAAACTCTGCCTATCAAAAGAATTTCAAAAATCCAAACATCCAAAACAAACTTTCTCGGACTAAAATAAAAACAAGTACTACTAAAGAGAAAGTAATAATGACATAAGGTCTTTCCATGAACTTTTGGAATAGGGGTGAATACTAACTTCACCGCCATTAGAGTGGCCAACCAAGGTTGCCTAATCCAGCACCGAAAGAAAAATTAAAATTCATCATATTTTCTGGTCTTCGATCGATAGTTTTAAATCATTGAGGCTCTATGTCGGCATATTTTACCTTTCGGACCCCTTAATGATAGTGAACTTATTTTTCAGGCTCTGGGTTGATCAAATTCCAAAAAAAATTACGATTTGTATTTATAATGATGGATTATGTTGACTTATAAGAGCATGTATTTTTAGAAAATTTTCATTAAATTTAACAATACATGATGTTAAATTTGATTAATGTTGGTCAGAGGGGTAAATAGTGCGAATAATTAAAACTCGAAGGGAACTAATTGATTAAAAAATGAAAGGTTGCATTAGTAATTTCGATCTAATCTCAAAGGGTTAATAGTAATTAACAAAATATCTTGTTGTTAATAGTCACACTTCTAAGAAAGATGTGAGAGATTTGAAGCTCATCACAATTTCAACATGTTGAAATTCAATAAAGATCATACAAGTATATAACTCCTTATAATAAAAGTGTGAGTGTGTGACTACATGAAAAGAACAGAGCCGTTTTTTAGGGGGTTCAATAGATTATACAGAACAGGGTCTCCGAATTTATGGGGCTCCAAAATTTTAAATTTCTTTTAGTACTTCATACTCCGTATTATATAGTACGGAGTAATATTATACGGACTATATTAATACTAATCAGTAAAATACAATTATTAAGGAAGAAAAATATAGATGCATGATTTTTTCGTTGGTCCTTTTATTATTTTAATTCTTTTTAATGAGTATTCAATTGATTTGATTATAATTATTTAGATTAATATTTTAAAAAAAAATTATACGTAGTACTCCCTCCGGTTCTAAATAAACTTCACACTTTCCTTTTTGAGACGGTCCAAAATAAACTTCATACTTCCTTATTTCCTTATTTGGCAAAGAAATATACATCAAAACAATGTTAAACAGTGTTAAACAGTGTCAAACAGTGTCTCAACAGTGCCAAACAGTGTCTCAACAGTGTCAAACAGTGTCTCAACAGTGTACTCTACAGTACAGTCAACTTTATTTTCTTAATAACTGTGAAGTCAAACACTGAAGTTTAAAAAGAACCGGAGGGAGTATTAATTTAGGGCCTCTGATTTACATTTAGAACTGGAGTCTCCAAATGCCCTAGAAAAGAAAGTAAAAATTTGGTCCAACTACAACGAGTGAAGCTGACGTTTATATCATGTTCTCTGTGCTTAAATGACACTCGTAACTTTGTACAACTAACTACTTAACGAGCTATAGTGAAAATGGGGAAGTGTAGTTAGTAGGTACAACAGTACAACATTGACACAACAATAAGACAGGCATTAGTAAACAGTATCAGAATTTAAAGTCACTTCGATTTTTACTTAAATACTACTCCCTCCCCTTTTAAATGAGACGAGAGATGGTGGCACGAGTTTTAAGAAAAGTGAGTTTATGTGGTTGATATTAATTGATAAAGTAAGAATAAAGTAAGAATGATTTTGAGCCACACAAAGTTTACCAAATAAGATATGGGACAATTAAATAGGGACATCCCAATATGGTAAAACGGGACATTTAAAAGAGGACGGAGGGAGTACTCCGTAATACGTAGTACGTAGTATTTCTACTTTATACATTTATGGGTGCACAACCTCGACCATTAATATTTTATAAAATCACATTCTAAAAATTAATTTATCAATATTTCTAAGAAATTAATTTAATAATGCATCATTAAATATATCGTAGATGAAGTAGAGCATGTAAATATTCCTCGAAAAATTCCCAAAATAGAACTAAAACGTTTGTGTATTTCAAAAGAGGATTGTCATGTTTTTATTTCTTAAATATGAGTAAATACTGTCACTTTTCTGCAGTACCAGACTTTAAACATGATAATATTTTCCAAACTTGACAGTAATTTACTAATTACTCGTATAGTCTTGTAAACTTGGTAGTAATTTACTCATAAAATATTAATTTTATATAATATTATATATTTATTACAATATAATTTTGTAAACGTTGACCGGGTCTTCCCGATGTTGACCGGGTTGATCTTTCGGGTCCGGGCTGACCCGTGACCCAGTAGCTTGGCCGGGTCATTTCCTGATCCGTTTTTGATAACATAGGCCAAATCTTCACCAATTTCAGCATAATGAGACGATTTAGAAAACTCCATTGTTCCCAAATGGACTCTTAGAGATTTCTAACGAACGCTAGTACATAATGAAAAAAAAAACATAACTATTTTAGAAGTTCTTCGTAAGTATTACTTCCTCCGTTCTTTTTTAGTTGCAACGGTCAACATTTCACACTCGTCAATGCACGTCTTTGACCGTAATTATATCTTAATCTCTATTAGTAAAAAATATTTAAAAATTAGATTTTGAAAATTTGTAATGAGATGAATTGAAAATATTTTTAAAAAAAATAATTTTCAAAAAATATTAATATAAAATGTAGTCAAAGTAGAACATGTGAATAGTGTAAAATTCAATATGTTGCGATTAAAAAGAGACGGAGGATAGTATTTGAATAGAATTATAAATAAGTGTGCCTAAAATTACAATGAGAAAATTGTTATTGTATTCTAAGTATATATAAATTCAAACAATATATTGATCATTGAGGTTTCAATTACATAATCAACGAATAAAACAATCACTTTTTTGTCCGATGCTTATTTTAATCATATTTCTATCATTATTTCATTTTATTAATGTGTAAGTGCACCACTCAATTTTGCTTTGTATCTTGTGCGTAGTATTCCTCTACATTTCCTCTATGTTAAATTGGGCCTGATTTCTCTAACCTTAAACGTGGCTTGCTCCCGATCTTAAGGTTTTAAAATGGCATAGTTCGAGTACACTTGTCCTACTTAATCACCCACCATTTTGTTTGGTTCATGCATTAGTGTATCTATGTGTAAGACTATTGCATATTAAGTCTAGGCTGCCTAGCAACTCCTTCGTAGGTAACTCTCTCTTTCAAATGATTTGGATGGCATTTCTCAGCCACATGTCTCTTATTATTGAAGTATCCGAAAATTAAAAAACGGTAGCACCAAAATCAGCT